CGGCTGTCGGCCTGAAGGCGCGAACTACAGGCAGGGGAGAGGCGGTAGGACCTGGTAAATACTGCCCTGGAACTAACCCCCAAACCCCTACGATCGATTTGAAGCAGAGACAATCACTGCCCCCTTCCTCCTCAGTACTTTTCATCTGAGTGATCTATGGCAGTGCCCGTGAGGAGCGCAAGGTGAAAATTAATACTAAAGTGGTCCGGTTTTTGATGAACCAAGTTGCCTCCTGGTGTGCAGGTTTCCTCCAGGGAAAGTTACTGTGTTCACCATAAATACTGTAAGTGGAGAACGAATCCCATGAGCAATGCCATTCACATTTCTCCTGTCAGGCCACAGTCCCTGCCCCCCACCCTCCCCCAACACACCCTGCTATTAGAAATGTTAACATTTGTAGGTATTTTTCACACCAGTGCCCTTACTCACACAAGCCGCTGCCTTTGTAAGTTTTACAACGAGCATCGCTCACATTTATGCATCTGCAATAACATATTAAAAAGGAAAATGAGCCTGTTACACCAGTATCATCCAAAAAGTCTGTATTTTCCAAGAGAACTTTTACCGGTAATATCATCAGGACAGACCACTCATAAAAACTACCCAAACAAGTGACATTTTTATTTATTGGCGAGTTCTGCTAACGAATTTCCTTTTCCATGCTCGTATCTCCTATCGGTTTGACTGGAAAAAAAACCAAAAACCAAAATACCCCCCCAACATTTTGGGTAACATTCCATTTGCAAACAATAAAATTACTTAACATTTAAAAATAAAACAAAGGATAGAAATTTTAAATACAAATTCTAGGAAAACCTATCCTGATTCCCCCAGGAGCTGTTCCTCGCCAGGCTGCCACCACCTTGGCTCCGTGCTGAGTCAGCGGGCTGGGTACTGAGGATCTCCCGTTTGGAGCTCAATTAAAAGGACCGGGGCATGTGCTATTATTACCATTTGATGCGCTGTTGTACCTTCTTCACCGGAAAACATAAAACAGTTTGCAGTAAACCAACCAGTACTTTTTCTTCCCTTATTCTAAAGCTAGTCCATACTGAAAGTTAGGGGGGAAAAAAATGTGGCTTCAGCATTCAGCTACTTCATCACACACGAAGATATCTACTAAGAGCATATCCAGGTTAAACTACATATCTGATTTGTCATGAGGTTAATGCTTATGGGGTGCAAGATGCAATCTACTTTGAAATAATAAACACATCACTTCCTGATGAGCAAAGTATTATATTTAGCCTTTTGGATCAATGCTCAGTTGCTAGGCTGTTTCTCCTCAATCTTGCCACAAGAGACAGTCTTCACCGCCACCACAAATAAGAACATGACCTGTGGCAATCATACACCTTATCATCAGTTACTAAGATCTTGTATTTAGCATGTTTGTTTGCATTCCTAAAAATGCTTAGATTATTTTTTAGGCCCCAGAGGCTTTGTACACCAGAAATTACACAAGTCAACCACATAAAAATCGTAAGTTGGTATACACAGCGATTTTGAGGTATTCCACAAGGAACCTGGCTCTGCACCTGAATATTCCTCTCAAAACCCAAAAAGCCAGAAAAAGAACCCAAAGCCCTAGCTGGAGTGGAAATTTTATTTAAAAAGATTCCTTTAATCCCTATGTTCCACCACATTTGATCAACAAGGACATACCTTCCCTGGGGGCACAAAAAAAAAAAAAAGCGCAAGCCTTCTTTGTCCCTTCCCTGGAATACTAATTTTCATCCTTCACTCCTAAATTTCAGGTACACTCAGAAGAGATGAAGAGAAAGATGTTATTTTCTAGCCAAACCAGAGAAACACATTCAGATACTGATTTTGGTTTATTTTATTTGTGAAGGTGCTCTAAGAAGATACCAGTGATACCCTTAATGTTGAAAATAGCAGCGGTTTATACTCTAATCTCCAGTTTGAGAGGAAGAGGATAAGGGAAAGATCTGGGTGGAGAGTCTGAAGACCAAGTTAAGAAGAAATGGTCTCCCAGGCCTGGATTTGGCTTGATAGAACCGTATTTACTGAGGCAGCCAGCATCAACAGAAGGTGCACCTGTCAAACAGGAGATGCTGCTCCACAGCAAGAGCAGATTGCTAATAGACTGGTCACCTGCCTTACTCAAGGGCTTTTCTGTTCGGGCTGAAGGGGAAGGACAGCTTTATTCTTCAGGTAACTGCTGTTCTCCTTTGAGTAGTACATTCAGAACAATTTCCAATAAACCAGAACTATAGTGCTAGTCGTGTATAATAAACTGCCTGCGATGTTTTTACTAGTTATGTTATTTTTCATGAAAAGTGGAAAACCTTTACAATGACATTAGAAGGAAATAATTTGCTACTTCTGTACTTGTAGAAAAACCATAGGCAGTAGTATTTTCTAAAGTGCTTCTTTACTTATCAGTTACTTTTTAAAAATTAGACTTGTATTTTGTAGCG